AATTTAATGTCAGCTGATTAGGGGCTTTGATTATGTGTGCACAGCCCCTTCCCAGCAGCACCTGGGTCAGTGTTTGGGGGAAAGTATGCGTGTGCTACAAATGGCTGCTGCCCCACCCCCATCTTCTAGCTCTCCGGAGAGACCCCCAAGCCAACAGATACATGAAGGGAATTCTGGGGACTGTAGCTGAGCCCAGCCAAGTTGTGCTGTCCCAGCCACCACATAGATGTAAACAGAGAGGTTCCCAAGTTCCGAACTTTTGACTCTAGGGAAACGGAGGGGATGTGAATAAAAGAGCTTGCCCAGCATTTTTAGAGCTAAAGTTCTTTTTATGAAACCTGAAAGTAGTTTTAGAGCAAACAAAATGAAGTTGTGCATTTTCACTGCAGAAAGTAAATTACCAATGAATCCAGAAGTAACTGATTGCTAAAGGAGATCAGAGAAGTTTTAGGACATATCCTCTTTTAAAGTTGTTGTGTGTTTATTTATTTTTTTCACTATCAGAAGCATAAAACTTACGTGATTGAAATTTTTTCCTGCATTGACTGCTTTTCTTTCTGCCTCCAGAAGTCCCTGCTCTTTCTTAAATGAATATTGTTTTGTGGATTAAGAATCACATTGTAATACTTAGTACAGAATGGCCCCCCTTCATGCCTGTTAGTTACTAGGCAGCATCCACTCTGACCCCCTTTTTGTTACCACAACCCCAGTCTTTTCAGTTATCCAGTCCTTGGGGAAGTAAATCCTGATTAAAAAACATCATTTGTAGTAATCCCATTCTTCTTGTATGTGATCAATTCAGGGTAGATGTGACTTAGTTCTACCCAGTCATGTGAGGTCAGGTCAACTAAAGGATTTCTGAGGAAGGATTTTTTTTCCCCCACTCTAAAAAAAGATACAAGAAAGAGATACCCCTCTTACATCCTGGATATTGCCTGCATGTGATGCCTCGGTTGGGCACTGTGGCAGTCATCTTGCAATCAGTCACAGGTGCTAGTCTGAGAACAAAGCCAGCAAAGTTTATCTAGCAGAAAAAATTAAAAGAACTCACGCCCTTGACCATATTGTCCAACTGCTCATTAACCAGCCTGGAATTGCCCAAGTTCAGGTCTTTGTCAGGTGACCCTTACCAACAAGCAAGTCTTGCCTGCTTGATCTTCTTTGGAGCTCATGGACTGCTGACCTCTCCCTTCTTCTCAGCTCTTCCCCTGCCACTACCTTGTGAACTACTGTCTCTCCCACCTGAGGCTGTTTTTTCTTCATCTCTTTCAGGGTTCTGCTCCTCTGTCATCTATCTAACTGTGGCTGTGTCTCTTTCCTCAGCCCTTTCAGCCAATTCCATAGGTTCCTATGAGTTGATCTCCCATGCCTTTGGCATGTGCCTATGGTTTCCCAAGCTGTGTTGCTCTTCCTGCCGCCACTCACTCACCAGGAGTCCCCAGCAACACCTTAACCTCAATGTGCCTCGCTTCTGTATGTCCAGTCTCGGTGGATGGTGCCAGCCTTTCACCAAAGCCTGAATCCTGACAGTCCCAGGATTCTTTCCTTCCCTCAAGGCACCCCATCCTCTCCGCCACCAAGTCCATTGTCAGGATCCTATCAGTTCTTCCCTTCGCTTTCCTCTAACCTTCTTGCTCACCCTCCTCTTCTTAATTCAGGCCCTCATCGTTTCTTGCCTAGACTGTCACCACGTGCCTGCCATATTCTAGTTCATGGTCTGTGATATCAACAGAGAAATCGCTTTACTATCAATCCTAACGTGTCACCCACACACCCGTACTTC